CCTTCGCTGGCTGAAAACCGGTAAGCCGCTACAACATATACACGTAATGTAATCCCCTATAGTCTCTAAGAGCATGCGGGTAAGCTACAGGTAATCCATCAAACGGCAGCCCGAAAAGAACCTCCACGCCCTCAAGCATGATGGTAGCCTAGCCGGTGGGTAGATGAAACGTGTGCGCCTCCGGTCGCTACTACTCTGTCAGAGCCGTGATCAATGCGCAGTCAAACTGCAATCGCCCAATCTCTATGATCCTATAGAAACCCGTATTCTGAAGGCGTCTAACTACACGGAGATGGAGTGGGTGGTCCCTAATAAACTCCCACACGTTTGGGGCGAAATGTCTGGGACAAACACTGTCCATCTCAGATGTATGAAGACCTATGGTTGCCCTGTAGCAACAGTAGCTTTCGAGATACAGGTCCGGGATGCACAAGGGGAACCTCTATGACGATGTCTATAAATTGAACAGTATTTAAAGTATTTTTCTTTTTAATTGCTTAACATCTTTAAATATATTGCAATATCTTTTATATTAATATTTAATCGATATTTTTACAATATTATTATTTAGGTTGATTTATTTTCTATATTTAATTTTATATATTAATATATTATTTTATATGTTAGTTTATTATTTTATATGTTAGTTTATTATTTTATATATTTATTTATTATTTTATATGTTAGTTTTTATTTTATATGTTTGTTTATTATTTTATATGTTAGTTTATTATTTTATATGTTTGTTTCTTATTTTATATGATAATTTATTATTGTATATGTTTGTTTCTTACTCACCTATTTTTGGGTATAATAGAATTAAATAATTTATTTTCATAACTATACATGATATGATTAATAAGTAAAAATACTTAGTTTGACAAATATTGTTGTTTTTATGTTATTTTCTTACATTTATTGACTAAAATTCAAGAGAGTTTGTGTTTGAACTATCATCATATATTTTTGGGATTAACAAATAATTAACTAATCAATTTCAATAACTATCAAGATACTAGGATAAAGGGTACTATATTTTACTACGCTAAAGGGCACTACATTTTACTACGCTAAAGGGTACTACATTACAATTACGGGCACTACATTAAAATTACGGGCACAACGTAATACTAAAAGGCACTAAGCAACAATAAAGTCACATATTAATATATGTACAACAATAAAATCTAAATAATATTAGTTATTCATAAAATAATAATTTATCTATTTTACTAATCTTTTAGCACATAAATAATTTAATCGGGATAAAAAATAACAAATTAATTTAATCATAAAATAATCACAAAAATAATATACCACAGTAAAAAAATAACTAATAAATATTTTTATAATAACTAATAACATTAATTATTCATAACATAATAATTTCTCTATTTTACTAATTATTTAGCACAAAATAATCTAATCCGGATAAAAAATAACAAATTAATGAAATCACAAAACAATCATGCAAAAACATAGACCAGAGTAAAAAAACAACTAATGCGCATTTTATACATGAGTTTTAACAAAAAGTAAGTTGGAATATCTCGATTTATAATTTCTGAAAGGTGAA